GAACTTATTTCTATGTAGGACTAACGCATTTTGTAAATTCTTATGTATAAGATCCTTTTTTTGTGTTCATAGATAATATAATAACATACATAATTTTGTCATTTTTTATGGGTGCTAGTATATGTATGAAATAATCGGTCAGCAAATACTTACACACATACACACAAGATATTTAATTAGCATACACACAAAAGCACTTACATATATCTATATAAGATATTTGGTCAGCAAACACACATATGAGGGAGTGCTGAAAATTTCTTGGTCCAACCAAGAAGTAATTAAAAAAATTCTGGTATTTGGTAAGATTTTATTAAGTGGGTGGGGCCAAGAACTTTTCAATACCCCCTAATATGCAAACACACATATACATACACTGGTGTAAAGTTAACTCATGTCTGAGTATGACCACTTCTAAGACTTTATTGCTGATTTCCTTGCTGCTGATGTCTCTAATGACTCATTAGACCAGCTATTGACCTAAACTTTAAGCCACAGGTTTTGTAAGCAAGCTTACCCTTTGCTGGATTGGTGTCAGAGTAAGTCCACTTTATTATATAGATTACAAATGAACTCAGTCTTGACATCATAGAATCATAGTGATATATATATATATATATATATATATATATATATATATATATATATATATATATATATTAAAGAAAAACAGAAACTGTTGGTGGAACCAATGGTTAACTTTCCAAAACCTAAAACTCTTATCCAGATGCAGTCTTGAAATAAAACCAATAATGCTGAAAAAAGAAAGCCAAAAAAGGCCTAAAAGCAAACTTATCTACTCAGTAAAGTAAAGTGTTCAAATCTTAGACTGATCAAAAAACACTTACCAGCATTAAATCCTATGAAAGGATGGCTCTAGTTGTAAGTCATGAAGCATGAAACAGCCTGTTACCACTGGGTGTTTTTAATATCCACTTTTATATTTATATATCCTCTATCCCTGATATTAAAAACTTAACCCATAAATATAGCATACCTTAAAGCTATATTTTTATCATATATATATATATATATATATATATATATATATATATTGACATTGTAACCAAGGATAGTCCTATCAGGAGTTTATAACTCCCAATAGCATTGCTCTCAGAGTCATTGAACCATGAAAGCCCCTCCACCATGACAAGAAATGATCATCAGAACATGACACACAAATTCTTGGAGTTTTCAATACTTCTATATATTTGGTTTTGCAAAATATGTGTATATGCACATAGAAACATGCATGTATAAACACGCATATATTTTACACTGGATATCGAAGGGAACAGTAAATCATCACATGTACCACTTTGACTTATTATTATTATTATTATTGTTATTATTATTTTAATCCCAATAATAGAAACTAATTAACAAATAATAAAAGTATAAAAGTATAAAATCATCATCAAATATATGAGAACATTTTTATTATTGTTATTGTTAAAAATAAGGCAATAGTAAAAAAAAAGTAATCAAAAAATAAAATTAGGTCTCAAAACACTTTTCCTACAAAGTCCTCATCCATAAAAAAAAGTTATGTTACTACAATCAATAAATAAGAAAAGGATAACAGAATAAACTTATTGACAAATGTTCTTAAAAATGTCTGAATGATAAATGATAGGGAAAAAAATCGATGATATTGAGCTAATAGAAAGAGATAAACAAAATAAATATTACAACTCAAAATGCATTTCCTAGAATTTTGAAAATTACATCTTCTTTCCTAAAAAAGAGAAATGTTATGTAGAATTAAATAGAGTAGGTAAAATTATTCATGCCGCTATATAAGTAATTTAAAAATACAATGTAATAAATGTACTTAACATGAGATTTCTTAGTGATAATAGACATTATTAATAAAGTAAACTTGCTAAAAATCTTATTTTAAAAAATAAAACAATCTATGTATTCCTCAACTTATCTTAAAAAAAAAAATAAACAAAGATGTATTTTAATAATTAAAGATTATAAATGCATAATATAATAAAAATTATAATATAATAAACAAAGAAACATATAAGAATAAATGGATAATTAAAATAAAAACTTCCCTTTTAAAAGACGACACCAATTCCTTTGAACAATGAAAAAACATGCAACCAACCCTAAAGATTCCAATGGTGGAACAATGCTTGATTGAGTGGATGAAGAGGGCTACGCATGACGAACATGCTACAGAAGGTGCCATTTGAAATTATAATCGAGTTAGCGGTAGTCCATTGCATTTTCATAACTGGATTCTGCATGTCTCATTCCATATGTGCCGCAGAAGCAGGTTATGAAGTGTGTGAATCATTTCCTGGCAATTTGAGGTCCACGTTAAACAACTTCTCGCCATTGACGCTTTCTTTTAATCTGATTTTCTTTCAGCTCCCACTAACTCTGGCAAGGCCAAATGACAATAAGGAATGGATAATGGGTGCAGGTTTTGATGAAACTGGAAGCATCTAGTCCTGGTGACGAATGTGTAATGGTCACCCTCCTAGGATCCAGTGACTATTTAGGAGTCTGGTCCTGCATTTGTGTCTGGGCAGGTCTGTTTAGTGGTACTGCTACCTACCTCTATCAAGGAATGTCCTAGAAGATGTGGACTAAACATCAGAAGTCACTAGCAGTGCCTGGCTGAGAAACCACAATTGGAATTACTATGTGACCAACACTGATGTTCTGGAAAGAGCTAACAGTCAAAGCATCAAATCACTGATCATTAAACACTGTCTTTGATTGTCAGGACATGTAGTAAGAATGAAAGAGTTGAGGTTTCCACATGAAGTCTTATTCAGTGAACTCACTTCAAAGAAATGACCATGGGGTTGCCCACTTTGAAAACACAAGGACCAACTCAAAACAACACTGAAAGCCATTGGACTTGAGCCTAAGTCATTTGAAACACAAGGATAAGACCATAGCAAGTGGCAATGTTCTATCACCATCAGAACCAAAAACTTCAAAGCCACAAGAAGAGAAAAGGAAGAAGACAAATGACAAGAGAGAAAGACTCAACAAAATCAAACCTATCCTCCAGCAACATTACCATGCAGTCAATGCCATCAGCTTTTCATTGCAAAAATTGTTCTACTTTGTCATCAACGGCATCATCATAAATGAAGCAATCAGAAAAGGAGAAATTAAATTCTTGGATACAAGATAAAGCTGAAAATGATGGCAATATATATATATATATATATATATATATATATATATATAGTTAAATTTCTCAGAAACTAACTATATTGTTGACATGGAAAAAAAAAACTCTTAGTAAAAAGGATGTTACCAATATCCAGAAAGGGGTGTATGCAGGAGCATCACTTTTTAAAATTTTGGATTTGATGTAACTATGGCTACAAAACATTTCACTTGCCTTGATAAAGTCAGAAGACGAAACACATCGGCAAGACCTAAGACTTTTTCCAATTGTCATATTTATACCATATATATATATATACATACACACACAAACACATGCACATATATGCAATGGATAGGATATCTTGTTAGAATATCTTGCAAGTATTTTATATCAATGTAAAATACTGATCATTAGATATCATGTTTTAATAATTAAGATTTTTAAATTAAATAAAAATATAACATTTTGAGTTAAATAATTTCTTTTGAGAAATGATTATTTCCCTTGGAATAAAGTATCAAGATATTTTTTTAAATATTTTGATAATATCAATAATTCTATAACAATAATTTTCCTCACAATGTGCTTAAAAGACAAGGGAGGTAATTCATGAAGATGAAGTACATTTAAGTGTACTTATGAGCAGGTGAACATTATTAAATTAAGCATTTTCTGTTGAGTTAAACCTAGGATTCCAAAGTGCACGGTACCATCCCCCCTCCAGGGGGCTGTGAGTGAAAAAGGGGGGGATTAAAAAAGAAGTGGTGAGAAGTTAGCAGGGTGGCATTAGAAATAAGTATTTTTTATGATATAATCTAAGTCACTTCAGGAACATATTACAAAGAATGATTTTACTTTATATTGTTGTCCAAAGTTAATGTCCAAAAGTTCATATCTTGCTGTTGTTTACTAGATTGGATGCACCACATGCCAGCCAGATCATACAGCCGATGTCTGTGGGGACTAATACTCTAGGTTTCTAAATGTAATGATATAGCCATAGATGTTTGTCTGGTGACATCTTTTTAATGGGATCAAAGAAAAGCTGAAATGTATATGTGCTTTTACAGTGTTATATCTGCAGCTTTGAATTTTAAATATACGTAATACCAAGAAAGAAGTATCTTCATATATGCATAGGGGATGCTAGGGGTGTGGCCTGTGAGTCATAGGGTGTGGCAGCTAGAAAACAATTTGGGATTTACTGAGTGAAACCATAAGAATCAGTTTACATATTTAATATTTGAATAATACATTAACTATCATAATGACATTAAAATGTATAAGTAATTTCTATTTTTTCCTTTTTTTAAAAAATTAGTTCACCTCAAGCAAGACAATAATGCCACTAAGATGCAAGGGGTTACTGGGAGTGAAAGAGAATGAGAAGACTTTAGAAGGAACTGGAATCCCAATCCTAAAAAGAAAATAAAGAATAAACATCTACTTCTGTTCAAAAGACTAGAAAGGTTTGTGAACTGGATGATAGGCAGGCCTATCTACTCCTACTGATGAAAAAAAGATAACAAATAAATATTAAGTAAAGTTTCAGAGTTTAGGTAGAGATGTTAGAAGTATAGAGTTGAAGTAAATTTTAGAAGGAACTGGAAACCCAACCCTAAACAAGAAACTAGGGATAAAGCTCTACTCCTGTTTAAAAGATTGGGGAGAAGTATGAACCAGACAATAGGTAAACTTATCTGTTCTTATTGATTTGTAATCTTAAAATTAAATATGAATTGATTATTATTGGATGTATAAAACTTTTCTATATAAGGGAGATTATTAAATATGTATCAGTTTTAAATAAAACCTCTTAATAATTTACTTTTATAAATAATTATTTTTATAGGTGTAAAGGTAAAGACTATATATTTCGAGCAGAGAACCATGAGTCTATGATGATTTGGTTGCTTGGGCTCCAGGTAAGTCCTTTATTTATATTTAATAATAAATTTTTTTTTTTTTCAAGCTGTGAAATTCATGGAAATGATTATTTATTTTAGTTTATTATTTATTCTTTGATGTGTGTATAGTGTAATGGATATCAATATAAGGGTAATAATCAATGATGGTATATATCGGTATAGTGTAACAGATATCATATAAGAGTAATAATCACTGATGGTATATATCAGTGATGATATATATTGGTATAGTGTAAAGGATATCGGTATGGAAAAAGAAATTGGTGAGCAGAGTTCAAATCCTGGCCTAGTCTGTTTTTTGAATAAATGGCATTTTAGGATTGAAGTTTGGTCTGAACTTATTTTCATGTAGGACTAACGTGCATTTTGTAAATTCTTATGTATAAGATCCTTTTTGTGTTCATAGATAATATAATAACATGCATAATTTTGTTATTTTTTTATGGGTGCTAGTCGGTCATGAAATAATCAGTCATAAATACTTACACAAGATATTTAATTAGCATAACACACAAAAGCACTTACATATATCTATATATAAGATATTTGGTCAAAACACACATATGAGGAGTGCTGAAATTTCTTGGTCAACCAAGAAGTAATTAAAAAAATTCTAAGTATTTGGTAAGATTTTATTAAGTGGGTGGGGCCAAGAACTTTCAATACCCCCAATATACAAAACATATACATACACTGGTGTAAAAGTTAACTCATGTCTGAGTATGACCACTTCTAAGACTTTATTGCTGATTTCCTTGCTGCTGATGTCTCTAATGACTCATTAGACCAGCTATTGACCTAACTTTAAAGCCACAGGTTTTGTAAGCAAGCTTACCCTTTGCTGGATTGGTGTCGAAAAGCCGAGGTCCACTTTTATTATATAGATTACAAAAATGAACTCAGTCTTGACATCCATAGAATCATAGTGATATATATATATATATATATATATATATATATATATATATATATATATATATCAAAAAAAACAAGAAACTGTTGGTGGAACCAATGGTTAACTTTCAAAACCTAAAGGCTCTCTTATCCAGATGCAGTCTTGAAATAAAAACCAATAATGTTGAAAAAAAAGCCAAAAAAGGCCTAAAAGCAAACTTATCTACTCCAGTAAAAGTAAAGTGTTCAAATCTTAGACTGATCAAAAAACGCACCAGCATTAAATCCTGTGAAAGGATGGCTCTGGTTGTAAGTCATGAACATAGAAACAGCCTGTACCAATAGGTGTTTTTAATATCCATTTGGGATATTTATATATCCTCTATCCTGATATTAAAAACTTAACCCATAAATGGCATACCTTAAAGCTATATTTTTATGTATATATATATATATATATATATATATATATATATATATATTGACATTGTAACAAGGATAGTCTATATCAGGAGTTTATAACTCCCAATAGCATTGCTCTCAGAGTCATTGAACCATGAAAGCCCTCCACCATGACAAGAAATGTCATCAGAACATGACACACAAATTCTTGGAGTTTTCAATACTTCTATGTATATTTGGTTTTACCAAAATATGTGTATATGCATAGAAACATGCATGTAAACACGTATATATTTTTACATTGGATATCAGAGGAACAGTAAATCATCCACATACCACTTTGACTTATTATTATTATTATTATTATTATTATTATTTTAATCCTAATAGAAACTAATTAACAAATAATAAAAAGTATAAAAGTATAAAATCATCATCAAATGTGAGAACATTTTATTATTGTTATTGTTAAAAAATAAGGCAATAGTAAAAAAAAGTAATCAAAAAATAAAATTAGGTCTCAAAACGCTTTTCCTACAAAGTCCTCATCCATAAAAAAAAAAAGTTATGTTACTGCCAATCAATAAATAAGAAAAGGATACAAATAGAATAAACTTGTTGGACAAATGTTCTTAAAAATGTCTGAATGATAAATGATAGGAAAAAAAAAATCGATGATATTGAGCTAATAAGAAAGAATAAACAAAATAAATATTACAACTCAAAATGCATTTCCTAAATTTTTGAAAATTACATCTTCTTTCTAAAAAGATGTTATGTAGAATTAAATGAAGTAGTAAAATTATTCATGCGCTTATATAAGTAATTTAAAAAATACAATGTAATAAATGTAGCAACATGAGATTTCTTAGTGATAATAGACACATTATTAATAAAAAAGTAAACTTGCTAAAAATTTATTTTAAAAAATAAAACAATCTATGTATTCCTCAACTTATCTTAAAAAAAAATAAACTAAAGATGTATTTTAATAATTGATTATAAATGCATAATATAATAAAAATTATAATATAATAAACAAAAGAAACATATAAATAAATGGATAATTAAAATAAAAACTTCCCTTTTAAAGACGACACAATTCCTTTGAACAATGAAAAACATGCAACCAACCCTAAAAAGATTCCAATGGTGGAACAATGCTTGATTGAGTGGATGAAAGGGGCTACGCATGACAGACATGCTACAGAAGGTGCCATTTGAAATTATAATCGAGTTAAGCGGTAGTCCATTGCATTTTCATAACTGGATTCTGCATGTCTCATTCCATATGTGCCGCAGAAGCAGGTTATGAAGTGTGAATCATTTCCTGGCAATTTGAGGTCGTTAAACAACTTCCGCCATTGGCGCTTTCTTTTAATCTGATTTTCTTTCAGCTCCCACTAACTCTGGCAAGGCCAAATGACAATAAGGAATGGATAATGGGTGCAGGTTTGATGAAACTGGGAAGCATCTAGTCCTGGTGACGAATGTGTAATGGTCACCCTCCTAGGATCCAGTGACTATTTAGGAGTCTGGTCCTGCATTTGTGTCTGGGCAGGTCTGTTTAGTGGTACTGCTACCTACCTCTATCAAGGAATGTCCTAGAAGATGTGGACTAAACATCAGAAGTCACTAGCAGTGCCTGGCTGAGAAACCACAATTGGAATTACTATGTGACCAACACTGATGTTCTGGAAAGAGCTAACAGTCAAAGCATCAAATCACTGATCATTAAACACTGTCTTTTGATTGTCAGGACATGTAGTAAGAAATGAAAGAGTTGGGGTTTCACATGAAGTCTTATTCAGTGAACTCACTTCAAAGAAATGACCATGGGGTTGCCCACTTTGAAAACACAAGGACCAACTCAAAACAACACTGAAAGCCATTGGACTTGAGCCTAAAGTCATTTGAAACACAAGGATAAGACCATAGCAAGTGGCAATGTTCTATCACCATCAGAACCAAAAACTTCAAAGCCACAAGAAGAGAAAAGGAAGAAGACAAATGACAAGAGAGAAAGACTCAACAAAATCAAACCTATCCTCAACAACATTACCATGCAGTCAATGCCCATCAGCTTTTCATTGCAAAAAATTGTTCTACTTTGTCATCAACAGCATCATCATAAATGAAGCAATCAGAAAAGGAGAAATTAAATTCTTGGATGCAAGATAAAGCTGAAAATGATACATATATATATATATATATATATATATATATATATGTATAGTTAAATTTCTCAGAAAACTAACTATATTGTTGACATGGAAAAAAAACTCTTAGTAAAAAGGATGTACCAATATCCAGAAAGGGGTGTATGCAGGAGCATCACTTTTTTTAAAATTGGATTTGATGTATTCTATATTAAAACATTTCACTTGCCTTGATAAAGTCAGAAGGCAAAACACATCGGCCAAGACCTAAGACTTTCCAATTGTCATATTTATACCATATATATATATATACATACACACACAAACACATGCACATATATGCAATGGATAGATATCTTGTTAGAATATCTTGCAAGTATTTTATATCAATGTAAAATACTGATCATTAGATATCATGTTTTAATAATTAAGATTTTAAATTAAATAAAATATAACATTTTGAGTTAAATAATTTCTTTTGAGAAATGATTATTTTCCTTGGAATAAAGTATCAAGATATTTTTTTAAATATTTTGATAATATCAATAATTCTATAACAATAATTTTCTCACAATGTGCTTAAAAAAGACAAGGGAGGTAATTCATGAAGATGAAGTACATTTAAGGTACTTAAGGAGTCGAACATTATTAAATTAAGCATTTTCTGTTGAGTTAAACCTAGGATTCCAAAGTGCAGTACCATCCCCCCTCCAGGGGCAGTGAAAAAGGGGGATTAAAAAAGAAGTGGTAGGGTTAGCAGGGTGGCATTAGAAATAAGTATTTTTTATGATATAATCTAAGTCACTTCAGGAATATATTACAAAGAATGATTTTACTTTATATTGTTGTCCAAAGTTAATGTCCAAAAGTTCATATCTTGTTGTTGTTTACTAGATTGGATGCACCACATTTGCAGCCAGATCATACAGCCGATGTCTGTGGGGACTAATCTCAGGTTTCTAAATGTAATGATATAGCCATAGATGTTTGTCTGGTGACATCTTTTAATGGGATCAAAGAAAAGCTGAAAATGTATATGTGCTTTTACAGTGTTATATCTGCAGCTTTGAATTTTAAATATATATTACCAAGAAAGAAGTATCTTCATATATGCATAGGGATGCTAGGGGTGTGGCCTGTGAGTCATAGGGTGGCAGCTAGAAAACAATTTGGGATTTACTGAGTGAAACCATAAGAATCAGTTTATATTTAATATTTGAATAATACATTAACTATCATAATGACATTAAAATGTATATAAGTAATTTCTATTTTTCCTTTTTTAAAAATTAGTTCACCTCAAGCAAGACAATAATGCCACTAAGATGCAAGGGGTTACTGGAGTGAAAGAGAATGAGAAGACTTTGAAGGAACTGGAATCCCAATCCTAAAAAAAAAGAAAATAAAGAATAAACATCTACTTCTGTTCAAAAGACTAGAAAGGTTTGTAGAACTGGATGATAGGTAGGCCTATCTACTCCTACTGATGAAAAAAGATAACAAATAAATATTAAGTAAAAGTTTCAGAGTTTAGGTAGAGAT